CCCGAAAAAAAAAAACGACAGTGGTACCCCTTTCGTTTTTTTTTTTTGGGCGAAAAATTAAGTTTCTCCAATCTTCTCAAAACTCTGGATTCTGATAGAGGGCCATGAGACATAGACCTGAGTGCAAAAATTGAGGCTCTAGACCCTTCCAGAGCTGAGATATCGAAACTCAAAAATTCGACCCGAAAAAAAAAACGACAGTGGTACCCCTTACGTTTTTTTTTTCGGGCGAAAAATTAAGTTTCTCCAATCTTCTCAAAACTCTGGATTCTGATAGAGGGTCATGAGACATAGACCTGAGTGCAAAAATGGAGGCTCTAGACCCTTCCAGAGCTGAGATATCGAAACTCAAAAATTCAACCCGAAAAAAAAAACGACAGTGGTACCCCTTTCGTTTTTTTTTTTTTTCGGGCGAAAAATTAAGTTTCTCCAATCTTCTCAAAACTCTGGATTCTGATAGAGGGCCATGAGACATAGACCTGAGTGCAAAAATGGAGGCTCTAGACCCTTCCAGAGCTGAGATATTGAGAGTTTTATAATGGCATAAATGCTACGTGGGATCTCAATATCTCAGCTCTGGAAGGGTCCAGAGCCTCCATTTTTGCACGTAGGTCTAAGTCTCATGGCCCTCTATCAGAATCCAGAGTTTCAAGAAGATCAGAGAAACTCAAAATTTCGACCAAAAAAAACAAAAAAAAAAACGACAGTGGTACCCCTGTACCACGAAGACGTGAAATAATCACGTTGGTCCACTTTGGAAAACGTGTAGATGTCACGGTTTAGTTTAAACTCAGAACCATAAATAGGGCTATACTGCCCTCTTGTGTCAAATTATATTTCTATATTTATTTTTTCAACAAATAAAACCAAACCTGCAATAATAAAACCCCGTCCAATACACCCTAGAACTCAACAGATTCAGTGGCTCAGTTGATAAAGCATTGGGCTTTAATCAAGAAGACCTGGATTCAATTCCCATACTTGCGTTAATTTGTTGTGATTATATCAAACAAAGAGGCTTAAACAATATTTCTTCAACCCGGTATCTTGACAATACGTGAAATAATCACTTTGGTGCAAATGCATAGATGTCATGGTTTAAACCCCCTCAAACGTGAAACTTACACTTAAACTGAAAGTTACCTATTGGTTTTCATTAAAAATTAAGTTTCTCCAATCTTCTCAAACCTCTGGATTCTGATAGAGGGCCATGAGACTTAGACTTGAGTGCAAAAATGGAGGCTCTAAACCCTTCCAGAGCTGAGATATCGAAACTCAAAAATTCGACCCGAAAAAAAAAAACGACAGTGGTACCCCTTTCGGTTTTTTTTTCGGGCGAAAAATTTAGTATCTCCAATCTTCTCAAAACTCTGGATTCTGATAGAGGGCCATGAGACTTAAACCTGAGTGCAAAAATGGAGGCTCTAGACCCTTCCAGAGCTGAGATATCAGAACTCAAAAATTTGACCCCCAAAAAAACGACAGTGGTACCCCTTTCGTTTTTTTTTTTTGTTTTTTTTCGGGCGAAAAATTAAGTTTCTCCAATCTTCTCAAAACTCTGGATTCTGATAGAGGGCCATGAGACTTAAACCTGAGTGCAAAAATGGAGGCTCTAGACCCTTCCAGAGCTGAGATATCAAAACTCAAAAATTCGACCCGAAAAAAATAAAAAATAAACGACAGTGGTATCCCTTTTTTTTACCCTGTTTCTTGTTTCTCTGGTTTTGATCCTGGTTTGTTTCCTGACTTCTGCCTGTTTGCTGCCTGCCCCGATCTTCTGCCTGTTCAAGAAGATCAGAGAAACTCAAAATTTCGACCAAAAAAAAAAAAAAAAAAAAAAAAACCGACAGTGGTACCCCTGTCGTTTTTTTTTTTGTTTGTTTTTTTTAGTGCGAAAAATTAAGTTTCTCCAATCTTCTCAAAACTCTGGATTCTGATAGAGGGCCATGAGACTTAAACCTGAGTGCAAAAATGGAGGCTCTGTAGACCATTCCAGAGCTGAGATATTGAGATCACAGTAGCATTTATGCCATAATAAATATCTCAATATATCAGCTATGGAAGGGTCAAGAGCCTCCATTTTTGCACTCAGGTCTAAGTCTCAAGGCCCTCTACCAGAACCCAGGGTCAGAATCTAAACAGAAAAATTTTTGAGTTTCTCTGATCTTCTTGGAACTCTGGATTCTGATAGAAGGCCATGAGACTTAGACCTGAGTGCATTGAGATCCCACATAGCATTTATGCCATTATAAATATCTCAATATCTCAGGTCTGGAAGGGTCAAGAGCCTCCATTTTTGCATACACTCAGGTCTACGTCACATGGTCCTCTATCAGAATCCAGAGTTTCAAGAAGATTGGAGAAACTTATTTTTTCGCACTAAAAAAAACAAACAAACAAAAAAAACGACAGGGTGCCACTGTCTGTTTTTTTTTTTTTTTTTTTTTTTTTTTTTGTCGAATTTTGAGTTTCTCTGATCTTCTTGAACAGGCAGAAGATCGGGGCAGGCAGCAAACAGGCAGAAGTCAGGAAACAAACCAGGATCAAAACCAGAGAAACAAGAAACAGGGTAACACGCTCAGAAATTACAGGCCGTGGCAATGTAATACTTCGCCAAGAGTCCTTGTATGAGTGTGGCTTATATAGGCAGTCTGAAATGAGGTGCAGGTGTGTGTGTAATCAGTCACAGGGATGAGGCATTATGGGAAACTGAGTTCCGGTGAAGTTATCAGTTCTGATGTGGAGTGCCCTCTGGTGATTCTCTGGGGCACTCCAACTGGTGATCGTCACAGGAAGGGTGTAGAGGTAGAGCCTCCCTTTTGCACTCATGTCTAAGTCTCATGGCCCTCTATCAGAATCCAGAGTTTTAAGACAAACAAATTTTATGTTTATTAATTTATTTCATGTTGGTACATTTTTGGGAAATACACCTGTTTTGACCTGATGTTCATTGGAATGGACAAAAAAAAAATCACAATGAAAGCAATTATATATATATATATATATATATATATATATATTTATTTTTTATTATTTTTTATTTTTTTTAATTTGTTTTCAGTTATAGAAACCTCATGAGCTGGGAAAATGTTGCCTACTTTTATATTTTTCAGAAACTTGAAACATAATTCAGGTCTGAGGGGGTTAAGATTATAATAATTCCATTTTTAAACACAGCCACCACAAAATCAGTATTAGGCCTACTTTGAGTTTAAATACAGATTTCTGGATTCAATTATTTTTAAATTTCCAGCACTGGAACACATTTTTTATCACTGGCCATGGTGGCAACTCCGATTGTAGGCTACTGTTGCATAAAGCTTTCAGAAGCACTGTGGAGTGATGTGATTGGCAGACGTGGTGCGCTGCAAATTCAAACGAGAGCCAATCAAAAGCATCAATCGCTCGGAATCGAGTTTGTTGAATTGTCCAAGTCGTTACATTTGACTGCCAGTTTACAGTTCCCAGAAAGTATCAGCACCTGCATAGCCTCAAAAACTGAATACAAATGTCCATCTGAATTAAACTAAGAATGAACTAAAGAAAAAGAAAAAAGCATGCATTTGTGAAACATTATAAAGTCATGCTGTTCTATTAAAGTTATAGTCTAGGCTATTTATTCTAATATTGCATTCATAATGCCTAATAATACATCATATTCTAAATACGCTAATTTTAACGGCATGCCGATATTTAAGAAATATTATTATCCTATCTCAAGTAACAATACTCACAAATAAATAACAAATGCAATAAATGATTGTTTCATGATCAGTATTAGTGCCTTTGTTCTACAACGTTTTCCTGTCAGACAGCTCACATGTGGCAAACTAAATTGAAGCGGTCATAAACTGCATACACAATCTGTGAAAATGTGTTGTCCTGTTTTCCCTCTTTCACATTAACACACTATCATTTATCAATGTGGGAACTCTCCTCTAGCTCTTTCTCAGAAGAATGATGGAACACTCTGAAATGTTTCTCTCTCTCTCTCTCTCTCTCTCTCTCTCTCTCTCTCTCTCTCTCTCTCTCTCTCTCTCTCTCTCCTCTGGCTACATCCACCCCAACTTTCTTCACACACATCTTATCTGTCCTCTCCATTGCTCGTTTTTCAGTTCCCAGAAAAGCACAACTGGTTTTTTTTTTTTTTTTTTTTTTTTTTTAACGTTGGATTGGTTCATAAATGTGACTCCATAAGAGGGGTTAGCCTATTTACCTTTCTTGGAAATCAGATTGCTGGAAGTGTTAAGGGTTTAAAGGTGACATATTTCTCTGGCTGGTATGACTTTGCAATGACATTTCCCTCTTTGTTTGAGCAGTATAAATGCATTATGTAAGCAGATGCTGAGATCATGAGCCACACAGCTGGTTCACTCCCTTGAGACAAAGACAGTGACATTTTCTTTTCAAACATTGGTGTTGGCTTTATGTTATTAGTAATGTGGTCACAGTTTCGATTAAGGTCCTATTCTCACGATTAACTATTAACTGTAATTCTGGCTCAATGAACTAATAATTACTGCTTATAAGTGCAAATAACCGTCACTAGGAATGTCAATTATCAGAATATTCATAATTTCCAAATAGTTTAAATTAAACCCAACAACTATATATATATATATATATATATATAGTTGTTGGGTTTTATGTTTTTTTATGATTAATTATTAATTTATGATTATTTATATATATATATTATATATATATATATATATATAGTTGTTAGGTTTTATGTTTTTTATGATTAATTATTAATTTATGATTATACATATATATAGTTGTTGGGTTTTATTTTTTATGATTAATTATAAATTTATGATTATATATATATATATATATATATACAGTATATATATATATATATATATATATATTTTAGGACAAGTATTTTTATTTTCAATTATTTTTTATAATTCACTGTTTCATTAATTTGAGATTAATAATGTGAGCGCTGAACAGAAATTTGTCAAAAATGTCAAACATTAAACACAAACACATCATCGATGGAAGCCATTCATGCTGTTTTAATACATTTAATAGTGCATTTTGACCATGATTAATCTGTACAGAAATAACATTAATAATAAAAAAGATAAACAACTTTCTCATTTCTGTAACTTAGAGTGTAACATTTACAATAAAATAAGATACATACAAAAACAAGATATGAGTGATATAAATACAGAGGCGTTTAAATTAACTGTCATTGTCATGCGTTATTCTCTGTTTGGCAGCATAAGCTTAATTTACACACGTTTATGATACTCCGCCGTGGACAGGCACGCAAGTAGTAATAAATCGAGACATCAAACCCAGGACCGTCCGTCATAAAGCGCCTCAATAGGAATGCTGGACTCATCACGTCAGAAAGAACTGTGTTGGATGATTTCAGCACTTCTACTCTGATTTACTGTGTGACCGCAGGCCTGGTTATATTTAAGTGTAAATGCAAGCTTTGTTACAATTTTAGACTTTTACTTCATTTTTGCTTAACACTGACAAGAACAAACAGACATCACTTCTCCTCATACATTCTCTACCATCCTCTGACAAAGTTACTGGCTTGGTAGCCCCTATAATCAAACCTGAACATCCAACCCAAACAAAACGCTTTTCCTATCCTTTTAGTTTTTCGTAACGCCCTTTTCCCAGGACTAGAGATGTTAAATGGCCAAGACTGTTGAGCTCACACGAATTTTATTGGTTTGCAGCACTGATCTGGACCAATTACAGGCCTCGAGGCGAGTTCTTCTTTGGAGTCCTGTGTGGAATCCTGAAGAATTGGTCCATCGGTATATTGGTCTCAGCTTTGGTTTTGGTGCTGTTGGAACCTTCTGCTGTTTAAATGTCCACATGCACTAGTCTTTTTCTCCATCACACATTTCCTGTCTTCCTTTCAAAGGTGTGCCAGCCACCACCTTCTGTCTCGTCTATCGACAAACATGTCATCTATTCATCCATCCATCTGTCCATACAAGGAAAGCACTGTACACAGCTTTGCAGATACTATGTAACAGTGACGCACACAGGAATAGGTATAAACACTGTTTTGCAGCGGGTGCCAGTGCATAGAATATGTCTCATTTGTCAATAATACACGCACATAAACATCAGACACACTATTCATATGCTCACTTCCACAGTCATTCAAAAATACACACACACATACTTGCTTCTCAGAAGCAAAAGCACCTCCCATCTCATGTAGTCACCCTATGGCATATTCAGTAACAAGGTCAAGCGTTGTGACGTCAGGGATGATGATGTCATAGCAGCAGGAACGCCTATTTCCAGTCTTTCAGGCTTGTCATTTGATGGCAATCATAATGGCAAGAACTTTGACCAATGTAGCTTGTTGATTTCGGCACAGTTGACAGTCCGTATCGTCTAAGGGCTCAGATCGTGTTAAGGGAGTTTAAAATCATTTTCCTCTCTGATCCAAGAGTTTGTTGAGAACATCAAAGTGCACACCAGGTGTGTGTGTGTGTGTGTGTGTGAGTGTTTATTTGTCCAGGCAGGTGAAGGAGTCTCGTATCCTCACCACCTCTGCAGCACACAGGTGACCATACAGCTTATTGTACCATTCAGGGCAACGACCCCTGCAATTACAGAAAAAAAAGAATGCGAGCCATGAAGTCCTTTACATGTCATTGTATTTAATTCAAATAAATATTTAATAAAAAATTACATAATTATTTTTATGAAAAATTACATTGTTTTAAATTAAAACAAAACATTGTTAAATTGTTGTTTACATTTTAATTGAAAATTAAATGCATAATATGTCCTGTAATTAAATAATTACAATTATTATAAATATCTCATTTGAAAATAAGATATATTTTCATTTCATTATATATATATATATATATATATATATATATATATACTAATTATTTTATTTTAATTTATATATATATATATATATATATATATATACTTTTTATATATAATATTTATTAATACTAATATTTATTATTATTTATGAAATATGTATGTATAATAATTATTCTAATAAATAATAAATATTTATAATAATAAATATTTTAATTATACTAATACATATTTAAATGATAAATGATAAAATTATTTTTGATATATATATATATATATATATATATATATATATATAATTTTATGATCTAAATATTATTAGTATAAATATTTATTATTTATTAGAATAATTATTATACATACATATTTCATTACAAATAATAAATATTAGTATTAATGAATATTATACATATTATAAATACATATACAATAATTATCATTTTTACTTTTTTAAATATTACATTTTAGTTTATAAAAATTCTACCTCAGCCTAACAATTCATTAAAAAGGGAATTATATATATATATATATACATATATATATATATATATATATATATATATATATATGTATATATATGTATATGTATGTTCTGAAAGATATTGAGGTTCCTTTCTTCACCTGTAGTCTATTCTGGAAATGTGTGTGAGACGGCTCTTGTTGGATCCGCAGGGTTCGATGTAATAGCGAGAGGTCAGAACGTTAGTACGAACACCCAGCGCCGCTGCACTCTCATGATCCACCGACACACACACCAAAGCACACACTCCCTTGGGCAAGTCTGTCACCCACGACCTGAAACATAAAAAAAAAAAAAAAAAAAAAAAAAAAAAAACCTTAGGATTTTTATGAGCACAAAAGAAATCTTCAGATTCTAATTTCAATTATAACTGTAGCATGGAAAGTATTATGTTTCTAATCACCTGAGCACCACGTGATCTCTTGGCGGATGGGGCGCCATGGAGTTCCTGACGTACTGATAGACCTCTGTGTTGTCCTCTAGTGCCTCCACAGTCCTGCACTCTAACAGGTCCTCATCCCACTGTTCTTGTTCCCGCAGAATCCGCTGTAACACGTCCTCAGCGGGTGCTGGCACGTCCACGCACACTTTCCACTGCCGTAAAGATGACCCGTCCTGAACCTGTAGTGAAAGATGATGCTCTACGGTCAATAACAGTTACATCACAACAAGAGTACTTAACTTTACTGCTATTACTCCTATTTGTGATTTCCTGCAATTCTACTGGTAGCTCAGAGGATTCTATACTGATTCATTACGGTGTCCAATCTCGCTCCTGGAGAGTCAATGTCCTGCAGAATTTATCTCCAACACACTTGCCTGGACGTCTCTACTTATCCTGAAGAACTTGTTTGACTGGTTCAACATGTGTTTAATTAGGATTTGAGCTAAACTCTGTAGTTTAGAGGTCCTCCAGGAGCAGGTTTGGATACCCCTGCTTTTGGGTACATGAAATAACGTCCAAAGACAAGGGAACTAGGCTGAGTGAACACAAGTGTAGTTTGGTTGGTGCGAAGTGCTAGAACAACAGACATACTGATGTCATGTTGGGCTCTAGCCCAAAACAGAGCTGGGAAAAGACACTTTCACATGAAAAAGGTGATGTAAGGGGGAAAAAAGACAGCTTTTCCATTAGGCACAAGCAAGAAAATGAGCAAAGGAAGGAAGGGAGCTTGAACATGTGACTCGAAAAGGGTGTGCATTTATAAAGTTCCCTTACCTTCTTGTATGCAAGTTCGGCGTTCTCTGGAGTCGAGCAGCTGTCATAACCTTTGAATTTGTCCTTGGCTTCTTTAAGCAGGGCATCAATACTGTTTTTGAGCAGACTTTGGTAGCTACAGGACCCACAGTCTTCCACCAACACCTCCATCCGCATGGGACTCAAACCCTGCTCCACGTACGAGTTCCTACAGCATGACATCTCTTCTGGGATCTGAAAGAAAAAGAAGGTATTAATAAACTAGCAATCCAGGCTTTTCCATGCTGGTCTAGGATGTTTTGGTGCTGTTAGGCCAACCACCAGCAAATCTGAGATCAGCATGATCTTTGTAATGAAACACATCATGCTAGTTAGGATAGTCAACGACCCGATGTTGAAAACAGCACACCAGCAACCCCTTTTAGGTTACAAAAAACAACATACAAGCTTTTTCAGCAGGGATGTATTATAGAGAACAAAATGAATTAAAAGAGAAACTCATGACTAGTTTATAACATGCTAATCAACATTAGCATTAACTACACTGTAAGCTCAATTGTACATAATGAAAAAAAAAAACAAACAAACACGATAATGGTTGTACAGTGAAAAAAAAGTGTTAAAAATAAGTAAATGTCACAATCACACAAGAAACAGCAAGTAACATATTGAATTATACGTGATTTAAAAAACAAACAAAAATACAACACTAAAACCTAAATCAAACTTTTTTCACAGTGTAGTATACTAGTTTTGTCAGTCTAAAATATGTGAATGTGAAGGGAAGAGAAGTGACAAGAGTGATTCATTTGTAACTGGAAGTGGCTCATCCTGTTTGTGTGTGTGTGTGTGTTGTCCAGCGTTCTGCCCTTATGAGTGAGTGTTTTCGTGCGTGTCCTGTCCTGCTCCCTGTCCTTTTCCTGCCTGACTGGTGATGTTTATTATTTCACGGTTCTTGTCCTTTTCCAGCATGCTGTTGAGATAAACTTGTTATCTGCGTACAGCAAAAAGCATTACGAGCACGGCCAGACCTTCCTCATCAGATTTAGGGGCGGAAGACCTTTAACCCTTTGATGCGCAAGCTATGGATACCCCTTCTAATGCGCAACATGGGTCTAAAAAGACCCGTATTCATTTCCTATGGTATTTCAGTGATGGCTGAGTGTTTTCTTTGCTGAATCTTTAAACTATATGTATTTTATCATTTGTTATTCCAGGTCTTCATTAAATATCTTGTTTTTGATATCCACAAATCATTGTGTTTATGTTTCCTTTCTTACTTTATAAACAAACACAGTTTTTGTATTTCTACATCAATTTTACACATGGGTCTAAAAAGACCCGTATTCATGTCCTATGTTATTTAATGCATGGCTGGACTTTTCTTTTCTTTTTATCTTTTGAGATCAATTTATTTAAGCATTTAATATTCCATAATCTATAAATTTCATGATTTATAAATATTAAAAAAATATTGTTTTCAATTACCAAAAATATTTTTTTTCATTTTTTTCTAGGTTTTGTGTTACTATATCAAATGTACTTATCAAGCATAATAAAACAAAAGAATAAAGACAACGTTTTGTTAAATTGATAATCTTAGAAGTAATTTTTAACAACATATTAACACTTGAAATGTTTATTTGCCACTTTGTCTCGCATAGCATTCACATATCACAGATAACTGATAACTGATAACACTGACATTGAACTGTGGTGTAGTGTAACTGTATTGAATTGTAGTGAATGTGATCAAATAAAAAAAAAAAACAGAAAAAATAAAATCACACTGGTACAGCGGCATCTCAAATTGCCATCTTAGTGCTTACATGCCTCACAAATGACAACTACATGTTTGTGCTCCTTGCACACAGGCCTGGTGCTCTGGGAACACCAGTTGTTGACTTTTCTGTCTTTGGCAGCTGGGCATCATTTCAATCATAGAATGATTTCAATATAAGAATCATTTCAGCATATGAATGATTATGAACTGTTAGGCCTACTAAATGTAAATAAGCTTTAAAAAACAATCTTTTTTTGTGTAGTTAACATTAGCTAGCTAGAATATGTCAACAGCTAGCTAGCTAATTGGACATGTTTCTCCTTCTCACTAGGATTTCTCACTAGGATTACAAGGTCAAGGTAACCATAGCCTAATATTGAGATATTATGTTGTTATCTTTTACAATATATATATATATATATATATATATATATATATATAAATGTCTGTGGTTAAAATAAATTAAGATTAATAAAAAATTGACCCATGTATGTAAAATTGATGAGGAAATAAATTAAAAAACCCTAACATAATGATTTGTGGAAATTAAAAACAAGATATTTAATGAATACCTGGAATAAGAAATGATTAAAAAAACATATTTTAAATTAAAGATTCAGCAAAGAAACACTCAGCCATCACTGAAATAACATTTCATGAAAACTCAGTCTGAAATAACATTTCAATGAATATGGGTCATTTTAGACCCATGTATGTAAAAATGATGTATAAATACAAAAACTGTGTTTGTTTATAAAGTAAGAAAGGAAACATAAACATAATGAGTTGTGGAAATCAAAAACAAGATATTTAATGAATACCTGGAAAAGGAAATGATAAAAAAACACATATATTTTAAAGATTTAGCAAAGAAACACTCAGCCATCACTGAAATACCATAGGAAATGAATACGGGTCTTTTCAGACCCATGTATGTAAAATTGATGTAGAAATACAAAAACTGTGTTTGTTTATAAAGTAAGAAAGGAAACATAAACCCAATGATTTGTGTTAATCAACAACAAGATATTTAATGAATATCTGGAATAAGAAATGATAAAATACATATATTTTAAAGATTCAGCAAAGAAAACACTCAGCCATCACTGAAATACCATAGGAAATGAATACGGGTCTTTTTAGACCCATGTTGCGCATTAGAAGGGTTGCTATAAAAAAACTATTTTTATTCAAAAAGTAAGAAATGAAAAATAAAAATAAGGATTTGTGATGATCAAAAACAAGTTAATTGAGGAATACCTGGAATACTGAGTGATGAAATTAATTTCTTGCAAAGATATAGAAAATGAAAACTCAGTCGGGTCTATTTAGACCCATGTTGTTGCATCAAAGGGTTAAT